TCAAATGTAATAAAATATTGTCACCATTCTCAAAAGGGTGTCAGCGGCTTAATGATAATATAACACCCAGTATGTACTTTTGTCTAGCTTAGGCATAATCAACAACTTTTAAGCAAGAACTTTAAAAATAGGCGCCACTGTAAAGGATAAATGATGCAATTGGACTCTCATATCCCAATCTACATTGATTAAACAATTATATGTAGAATCTTACATTCTCACACCACACACTATCAGAATTTGAACCCACTGAAAGAAGTTTACCAAGTCATGCTTCTTGACTTATAATTTATCTCCATCATGTATTCATGTACCCAATTAAACTTATAGAGAAGTCCCAAGTAACCAAATTGGTAGATGCAACATTCCGCCACTCATGGTCCTGGTCATGCATAGACCAACATATATATATATATATATATATATATATATATATATATATAGACAAGTAAGGATCGAATCTCAAGAGACTGTGGTTTAACTAATTAAACAGACTCAAATAAATACTAAGCAAGTAACAAATATAATAGTGAGAACTAATAACTAAAGAGCTAAATAAAGTGATTAAATCTAGTAATATAATAAATCAAATGCTAAAAACATCCAAGATCAAGCATCACCCCGAATACAATTAATGCAATAGTCGTTCTACCCCTAACATATAATTCAATTGATTAACGAGCAAAAACAATCCATAAATGGTACCAATGGTCACTCCCGAGTTATCAATGGCTTCCCTAATCACAATCAAGCCTACTTCCGTGGAATCATGTAAATTAAAAAGACTTTGAGCACATTACTCTAACATGCTAATCATCCATTCAACTACTCCCGTGATGAATCTTCGAATCCTTAATTGATTTATTCAAACCCTTTAAAACCCAATTCCCGTTGCGATTAAAACAATGGATTAATAAAACTAACTATTTCTATCCTAATAGGACTCCCAAACACCACCAAAACGAGCTGCCACAGGTAGGTTGTGGCACGGAAGAAATCGCCACAACCAGGTTGTGGAGGGGGCTGACTTCGCTTCTCCTTCGCTCCAATAGTAGACGCCCACAACCAGGTTGTGGACGACAGGTAACACGCCACAACCAGGCTGTGGAGTAAGCTGCTCGGATGCTTAGAATGCTAGAAACGCTCCATATAAAGAAATATCTCGCGAACAAAACGAATTCCACACAAATCGAACCCTATTCCTACAAAAACAAAAGTAAATAAACCGAGAAGAGCAATATCGAAATAGGAAGAATAATAACTCAAAATGATTAGGAGAATGAAGAAAACACAATAAAACATGACCAACTATCTCATATTAATCGTGTATAATATCGTGTTATCAATATAGAAATGGGATCATATGAGACCACATCCCTTATGTGAGAACCATATTATATGTGAGGACTCATTATAACCGTTGGATAAATTATATCCAACGGCCACAATTAAATATCAATTATAACTAGAGAAGCATCTGATTCAGAGGCAACGGTGGGAGTTAAAGTAGATTGTTCTGGAATCATCAATTTCCAATCAAATGTTCATCCTTTTTCATGCGATTCCACTCATTTATCTCTCTTCTATACTCTGCATCATCACGAAGAATTCGATTTCGTCGTGTTCATCAATCTAAATCAACTCATTGCAAAAACCCCAATTTCAAGAAAATGAGCTCGCCAATGGAGATTTCAGTCCCTAAAGTCGAATCTACTGAACCTAAAGCCAAAACTAGTTGTGGTTGGCTGGACGTGGGTCTTTGTGGGTGGGATTATGTGTGGGTTTGGAGGAGGGTGGTGCCGTGGTGGGCAGTGAATACTGGTCGGAAGTACGAGGTGAGGAGGTTTTCAAAATTTCGAGTGGGTCTCTTGGCGATTGATTGATTATGTTCTTGATGTTGTACGCAAAGAAGCTGAGAATTGTGACTGCTTACAAGGTATTCAACGAAATGCCTCACTGAATTTTTTTTTTCAGTTCTATTTCATTTTTGTTTTTTGTGTTTTTGTTTTCTGGTGTTGGATCTGAATGTGGTGTGAAATGGAATGGGATTGCAGGATTTCAAGTTTGTCATTCATTGGGAGGTGGTATTGGATCTGGGATGGGAACTTTGTTGATTTCAAAGATTAGGGAAGAATACCCAGATCGAATGATGATGACATATTTAGTTTTCCCATCACCAAAGGTGTGGTTGAGCCTTATAACGCTACTTTGTCTATTCATTAGCTTGTTGAGAATGGAGATGAGTGTATGCTTCTTGATAATACTTGTTGATTTAATGAATGATTAAAGAAATGTTTGCTCATTTGACAAATGAGCAACTAATCATTTGCTCATTTGACAAATGAGCAACTAAGTTTTTGCTCATTTAATTTGTTAAATTAACAACTAACTATTTGCTCATTTGCTAAATGAGCAAAAAATCAATTTCTCATTTTCCAAATGATCAAAGAAATCTTTTCTTATTTTACAAATGAGTAACTAATTATTTGCTTATTTGACAAATGAGCAAATTAATGGTTGCTCATTTCACAAATAAGCAAAGAAATGAGCAAATTACACTCAATTAGCATGTAGAGTAGTGTGAAAATGCAGAGTTTGAAAACTTTGAGTAGTTAATGAAATTTATTTCTTTTGGCTATTGGGAAAACAATACAAAAGACACCCACTGCTTCCGGTTGACAACCTTTTCGTATGTTACACAGACATTTCAATGATAGAATCAATTGCTGCAAATTTATTTAATAGCTAATTTTTTCAACCTCATAACATCCCGATGACTAATGAAATCAATCTGATAAACAATGAGTAATGTGATTCTGTAGTTAATTTTATTGCTTCATTTTTTTTTCTATTTCTCCTTACACTTTTTATTTGTTTGCAGGTCATAATCATTGAAAATTTTTGTTCAAAGTATATAGCCTCTCAATTATTTCAAGTGAAGTAAATACTATTGAATATGTTAAACAAATTGGTCAAAAGAAAAAAAAAGGTTGAAGAAAGCTAGTGTTGCAACTTAAGAAAGCTAGTTGTCAATGATATGATCTTAGTAGCATCCCCAAGGGGAAGCAATCCAAGAGCATTCACGGTAGAGAAGAGTGAAGTTGATTTGCTTTTTATTGGTTACTATTTTGATGTTAGTTACTATTTGTGTCCCTGTCTGCATAAGACAAGTTGACTTTAGGAAGAATCACATTTTGTCAAAAATTAATATTTATTCTTTACTAATTTGTCAAAAATGAGCAAATAATTTGTCAAAATGAGCAGTTAATTTTTTGCTCATTTGTCAAATGAGCAAAAAAATTCAATGCTCCTTTCACAAATGAGCAAAGAAATGCTTGTTGATTTAATGAATGATTAAAGAATTGTTTGCTCATTTGACAAATGAGCAACTAACTATTTGCTCATTTGACAAATGAGCAACTAACTATTTGCTCACTTGACAAATGAGCAACTAAGTTTTTGCTCATTTGTTAAATTAGCAACTAAGTATTTGCTCATTTGACAAATGAGGAACTAAGTATTTGCTCATTTGCTAAAAGTTGATCTTTCTTCATTGATATTTACAAAAAATTACAGGTTATAAAATTGCAAAACAATTCTTTGCTCATTTGTCAAATTATCTACTCATTTGACAAATTATCTGCTCATTTGACAAATGAGCAAAGAATTGTTTTGCAATTTTATAACCTGCCATTTTTGTCAAATGAGAAGATAATTTGTCAAATGAGCAAAAAAATTCAATGCTCCTCTGTCAAATGAGCAAACTATTTAATGCTCATTTGTCAAATGAGCAAATGATTCTTTCTCATTTTGTCAAATTAATGTTCATTTGTGAGTGTGTTTGAATGTTTTAAATACGTTAGCCTACTAGCTCAAGGGTAAAGCATTGTGCAAATGCACAAAAGATGTGGGTTTGAATCCCATGTAGGTTCATTTATGTAATGTTGAGCACAAGTTTGTATGAGAGTTTAATTGTAACAAAGTTTATATAGTTATAAATCATTTCAAACCATTTTTTTGCTCATATAATTTAGTATGAAATTGATTTTTTTTTTTAAATTAATTTTGTTTATAGAGATAACCTATGTAGGAATTGAACTTACATCCCCTATGCATTTTCATAGTACTTTACCATTTAAGCTAATAGGCTTATCATATGTTTTAAATCATTTTCTATGTTATAAATTTTTAATTAATCAGCACATTTGATAAATCAACAAAGAATTGTTTACTCATTTGATAAAATGAACAAAGAATTGCAGCAGCCCTGGTGAACATCTTGAAACCACACTACAGGCATGCAAAACCTCCTTATGAACAGGTTCTTGTTCAACAGTATCCATCCTCTTAATAGTCCAACCATGCTGCTTCTCAAATTGTTCTCTTTCTGAGTGGAGCACTTTCACAGCATATGCCACCCCACTTTTTAAAGGCCGTTTGAAAGCAGTTCTTTCGGTGTATCTTGCAAAAGTTCTCTATTCAATGTTCCCCTTAGTTAGCTACTAATTGTCTAATACTAGCAATGAAACCATAAGAGCATACTATCAGACCTTTTTTTTTTTTTCTAAAAGTAGCATACTGTCAGACTTAATCTGACAAAACAAAAACCATATCCAAACTAATACAGAAAAATAGCTCTGAGGCAGTGTGAGCCACTCTATAAGCACAATACCAAACTCTTTAGGCAGATATTATCCCAATCGCCGAAATACTTTAATTTTTAGCATCATATATTGAAAAATCGATTAACTTCAAGCTATTCGGTAATGAATCAATATGAAGAATTTGTACTCATTCTATGTGTTCATCGAGGTTACCTAATAAGAGAAAAGCTTTCCCTTCCAAGTTCACCTAAAATAGTATCTACTCTGTAATGACCTAATACTAGCAGTTTTAGATAAAATTCAACAAATTGGACACAATATCCACAGGAAATTAGCTTTGCTGAGTGCTGACAATAGAAGAACAAATTTTAGGAGTAAAATTTACATCTCAACCCCATCAAAAAAAATAATCATTTTCATTTATCATAATACACTGCAAAACTTCTCTATTTTTCCCACATACATGATAAATACACCCATAATTCCTAATTTCCTACTCTTAACATAATTATTCAGGAAGAAAACTAATTAGATACATAAATGAAGCTACAAAATCCTCAAATATTAGCTAAAAAAAATAGAATTCAGATAGATTTATACCTGATCAATAGCAGATGGATACTTGCCATGATGAAAAGTGGAAATTAATATGGACATAGCTTGAATATGATTCATAGTTTCATACTAACATTGAATTGATCTTGCAACATCCTAGCCCTTTCATCACACATACTAGTAAGGCTTTCTTTCCTTTTTTCAATAGCGTATGAACTCATAAACCAAAACATCCCAAAACAAAATATGATCCAAAATACAACCTAAGCAACCAAAAGCTTCTTCCACCATGATTTCCCCAACTTCATTGACCCTATATAGTGGTAATAGTAATGGTGGATCATACAGCTATTCAACACGATTTTCAACCACAAATCACCCACCACTTTACCATCGCCACCACCACTGCCGCTGCCACCAAGCAAACTAGGCTTGCCGTCCATTACACCACCATTAATCAGCCTAATTCATGGGGATCACAAAGATAAGTCAACAACATAGCAGGAAGAGTACATGTCCTACTTAACCCAAAACCAAGAACATGTAACAAACCCATCCACTGTTTAGTAAACTACTAGCAATCTCAACTCCCAAAGTAGGAGAGAGAAGGATGATTAAATTAATACTATTCAAAATTTGAAGAGAATAAATGCTCAGAAAAAAGGGACAAGAATAAAATGAAAAACAAAAATAAAGGGTAGAAGAAGGAAGAAATTTAAGCTAGCCACCCACTTTTTTTTTCCAGAAATAACTGGTAAAATAGCAGAAAATACAAGAAGATGCTAACTTATCCTTCATCAAATTTAAACCCAAAAGAAAAATTAAAAATAAGGAATCCTAGAAACAAAAGATTCTAAATTTTCCTTACCAAACCGACAGAATTTCAGAAATGCATATAAAAGATGAAATTTGAAAAAAAAAAAAAAAAAAAAAACTATATCTAAATTCTTACCTAAAATAAAATTAGATCTGAAAAACGCTGGTGGTGATCGGTGGGTGTCGCCTCGTCTGTGTTATTGTTGGTATTGCGTTGTTGCTTGGTGGTGCTTGCTCGGTGATCTGAGTCGGTGATGCTCGGTGGTTTTCTGTGTTGGGGGCTGCTCGGTGGGTTTGTTGTCGGTGTTGTTGCTCGGTGGGGTCTGCTCGGTGGGTTACTGTGGTTGCTGTGGCCGGTGGTTGTTGTGTTGATGAGAGGAGAGATGCGTGAGAAGAAAATGGAGAGGAGGAGAGAGAAAGGAGATGAGAATGGAGAGGAGAGAGAACGTGAGAGTGGAGAGAAAGATAGAGAAAGGAGGACCCGTGAGAATGGTAGCTTTGTATTTTAATCTTAGCCGTTGAAATTCATATAATCTAATGGCCGGTATTGGTTCTCACATAGATGGTGGTTCTCACATAAAGAGTGGTTCTCATCGGGTCCCGACCCTATATACATATATATATATATAAAACATTCCTTTGTTTCATATTATTTGCAACGAAGAAATACTTTTTACTCGGATATTATGTCAAAGCGTTGCAAATAATATAAAACGGAGGTAGTAGTTTACTTATACTAGTCATACAATTACATGAAAATGGAGCAGAACAGTCAATCAATCAATACAACCAAGAACACAATATAAAAATTAACTAATATCTTCCTTTTATTTTTTTTCCTCAATCTTTCGCCTTTCAATTCAAACTTTATTATGATATTTGTTTACATTTTGCTGCTAGATTTTACTTCATTAGTAGATAATGGATTTCGTTTCAGTCTTATCTTTAATTTCTCTTAATAATTTCTTCTTTTTTTTTAAAAAAAAATTTTTGTTTGGTCTTGGGGTTCCTTGAATTAGGGTTGTGAGTATCAAGTTGGGATTCTTTGCTTTGATTTTGTGTTTAATCTTAATTTAAAACAAATTTTATTTTAGATCTCGTATTTCATTAGTATAATTTTTAGAACTCTTTTTTTCGGTTTTTCATATAGTTTAATTTCTTTTATTACTTTTTTTTGTTAAATATTTTTTATTTTTTAATTTATATATATATATATATATAACATCTAATGGTCACAATACAATCCCGGTCAAACAAAACAATTTCATTTCAAAACAATTTCTAGTGTTTTTCTCTCTCCTCCTTGCTTTTCACGCGCATTTTTTTCTCTCCTCGTTCAAGTTCAATTCATCCGGTTTTCTACTCTCTTTCTCTTTGATTTTCATCACAACTTCTTCAATCTTCATCAATTCTTTGTCAAGGTGAGTTTATTGTTTATATTTTGGTTTGATTCATCGTTTATTTTCGTTTTGATTTTCGTTTGATTTGTGTGGATTTCAGCTCACATTGTTTGTTACTTTGTGTCGATTATGTTTTAGTTTGTTTTTTTGTTGATTTTAGTTTTATTTTCGTTTTTTTGAGTAGTTATCAAGTTGATTTTAGTTTCATTTTGCCTGATTTTCATTATTTTCTAGATTTTTTTGTTTTTTATGGAAACCTACAAATCATTGATAATTTGTGTTTTTTTTTTTTTTGAGAAAATATTCCGATGATCCTGCTTCAGTTACTGCCTGGTGCAAGAATGGGGATCTTGAGGAAGGCATATTTTGTATGAATGCGGGTTTTGAATTGGGTTTTGGGGGTTCTTTTCCTTTTTCTGGTTTTCAGGGGTAATTGTGAATGCGACATTTCCCTTAAAATAAGTATTTACATGACTTAGAAACCTGATTTGTCACTGACGTATCTTGCTTCCACAGTTTCACAGGTTCAAGATGCTTTTCTTGGGCCTTCACTCTTGAACTAGCCTTTCTCCTAATTTTCTGTGGAAGTTGTTTAAAACCAAACCTTGAGGATATTTAGCTTGTGTGCTGTTTGACAGGTTCTAGTCGTATCACCTAATCAAAAGTAATTACCTAAGTCCTCTAACTAAAGTAGATAGGGAAGTAGGGTCGAATCCACAGGGAAACAATGTTCTTTTACTCCTAATTAATTATAATAATCTAAATTATCAGGTAACCAATTTATGTTAGTAGGAATTAATCTAATAATAAAACTAAGCAAATAAAATAAGGGAATAATCAATACTAAAGGATCTAGGGTATAGGTTCACCAATAAATAATACTTCAGGGTAAAACATAATAATCAATTATCAATGAATAAATTAATCTGATTATAAAGGGCTGTCGCTACGTATTATAATCACGTAATCAATCTACTGGTATCAAATCGCATCTCTCGAATCTTGACGTAACCATTAATAGATTAACATGCCTATTGAAACTAAGCCTAAACATCAATTCTCATCTCTCGAATCTCGAATCAATATTGCAAAACTCATACAATTAATCCTGCGCAAATCTAATCACATAGCATTAAATCAATCAATAGGAAATTAATCAATCATCAATAATCAACAATAATAAATTACCCCTTGTATTATTCATGGATCCCCACAACCCTAGAAATAAATCTACTCACTCATAAATAAATCTAAGCTAAACAAAATAATTAAGCAAGACATAATCAACCAAGTGAATTAAATGCTGAAAATAAAACAAGGGAAGAAATCGTACCAAGATTAAACGGAAAATATGAATTGCATTAACGAAGGAAAGTAGAATAATGTTAACTAGAAAAAAAAACTCAAAAGCTAAAAATGGAATTAAGAAAAACAGAATTCTCGATAATGATAACGTAATCGTCAAAATTAAGCTAATAACGTATTTATACTTACAAAATAATTCTAAAATAAAATAAAGATAAAAGAAATTAGAAATATCTAAAATAACGCGCGCCCGGTCGGGCGAGGCACCGCCCGGCCGGGCGCGCCTTTCTCTTCACTGATGCTTGCTCGCGCCCAGTCGGGCGCGCATCCGGGCGAAGCTTCGCCCTTTAGTCTTCTCCCTCGCCCGGCTGGGCGCGCCTTAGGGTGAAGCCCTGCCCGGTCGGGCGAGTGCTCGGTCTTCAATGTTTTGGGCTTGACTTCTTGGCCCAATTTAATCATCTTCTTGGATCCATCGTCCGAGCTTCTTTTTCATCACCGAGCCCTTAGTCACCGGGTCGACTTCTCCAACATGATCCTGGGCTTCGGAAAACGATCATAGCAATGTGTCTCCTCTTCAATGCTCACAGTGGCTCAACTAAGTACGAGAAAATGCTCCAAATCTGCAATTTCCTGTAAAATAATACCACAATTACGAAAACACTAGAAAACGCATATTAGTAATAAGATTGGCTCTAAAGAGCCAAAAATACTCCCAACTATGACCACGGGACGGGGATAAAATACTATATAAAATGAACACATCACTGTTAGTATTAGTCGCTTTAGTGTTAGCTCTTACTGGCTTGAGACAGCTTATTGGGATTGCGTTCACTGGTTTACTACTTTGCTAAAAACCCTATTGCCACTTTGCCATCGGAAAGATGGTTCAAAATTTAGATATTTGTAGTTTCATATGGATTTTAACATGTATTCTTGCTTTAGAACATTTTGGTGAATTGGATCATGTTAGAATTGGGATTAATACATATCTCTACTGGTATTTGGTTAAAATTGATGATCTGTTTAGGGTTTATAAACACATGCATATTTTTCAGGCTGCTTGTTTGAGAAAACAGGGACTGCTATCATGTCCAAGAATCTTGTGATATACTAATACTGGTCGGGAGGCTGTTGGTAATAGTCTCCAACCAAGTTATGTGGGCTGTGAATTGAACCTTCTGATAGTTTATATGGACTATTTAATCTTCTTACTTTATCTTGGTTGGTAGGACACTATTTTCTCACATTTAGGATCCTCTGCTTCTTGTTAGCAATGTGGTGAATCCCCCCTTCCCCCTCTTTATTTCTCTTACAAATTTGCTTCTTAAATTGATTTTTCCTTTGTTTTAGTTAGCTTACATTTTTTTTTTCAGGTTTTTTTTTATAATTGTAGAATTGTTAAGTGTTATGGATTCTTCGGTTGCTATTGATTCTACCAATGCTAAAGATTATACGGATGTACCTTTGGAAAGGATAATGCACGTGTTTTCTTATTTCCTCATTTTATGTTTTCTTATTAAATGCTTGCTGATTTAATGAATTATTAAAGAAATGTTTGCTCATTTGACAATTGAGCAACTAACTATTTGCTTATTTGCTAAATGAGCAAAAAACTGATTGTTCATTTCCCAAATGATTAAATTAATGTTTGCTTATTTCACAAATGAGTAACTAATTATTTGCTCGTTTAACAAATGAGCAAACTAATGTTTGTTCATTTCACAAATGAGCAACTAACTATTTACTCATTTGACAAATGAGCATCTATGTTTTTGCTCATTTGTTAAATTAACAACTAAGCATTTTCTCATTTGACAAATGAGCACTAACTATTTGCTCATTTGCTAAATGAGCAAAATATTGATTGCTCATTTGTCAATTGTTCATTAAATAATTTATCAGCCTATGCTTCTCTATCATAACATACTCTAGACCCTCCTCTAAAGTATCCTCTTCACTACACCTCCAAAAAAAAAATCTATGTGATATTTTACTTTTTTTTTTTTTTTATGATTTTGTATGAGTAGGAACTCTATTGAAAAGGAGTGTGCTGCCGATGTTGGTTCATCAGGGGCTACTGCTGATGTTGGTTCATCAGGGGTTGTAGTGGAAGAAGAGAAGCTAAGTGAAAATAAGCAGAAGAGAATCAAATTAGTCACTACTAAGGGTAAAGGAAAAAAGGTTGAAAAAGGAGTGAAAGAAAACAGAATGTGAAGTTCGAGGATCCTGATGGTGAAGATGATGTTGATGAAGTGCAAGGATCAAAATCTGCTGTCTACGGGACGTTGCGTAATAGGATGTCTCCTTGTAGGTTTTCGTAGTGACCCTCACTACGCGGAAAGAAACCCCCCAAGACCCGCCCCCATAATTAATGCAACTAATACAAGCAAAACATAATTAAAACACAATTAAGAGTAAGGATAAGAATTATACCCTCGACGCGTGCTTCGCTTTTACACCGAGCTCTTACTTCAACCTCGATAATGCGAGGCCTCCAACGGGATCGTACCCTCGAACCCGACCCGATCGTCCTAAGCCTCAAAGGATTAGTCAAGGCCCGGACAAAATATAAACTTGGAGTTTTACGAATTTCAAGGTATACTCAACAATGGAGTTTCCTTTACTTTTCCACTCAAGTGTGTTTTTTCCCAAATACCCAAGCCTTGGTATTTATAGGAAAATGGACCCTTGATTTCCAATCTCCCACCAATGTGGGAGAGTTGGTAAATTTAACAATTTATTTAATTCTAAAATTAAATAAATAATTAAACCAAT